CTGCTGGAGAGAGTCCAGCGGAGGGCTACCAAGATGATTAGAGGGCTGGAGCACCTCTCCTCTGAAGAAAGACTGCAAGAGCTGGGCCTGTTCAGCCTGGAGAGGAGAAGATTGAGAGGGGATCTCATAAATGTGTACAAGTATCTGAAGGGGGAGTGTCAAGAGGATGAGGCCAGACTCTTCTCCGTGGTGCCCAGCGACAGGACAAGAGGCAATGGGCAGAAACTGAACCACAGGAAGTTCCCTCTGAACCTGAGGAAAAACTTCTTCACTGTGAGGGTGACAGAGCATTGGAAGAGGTTGCCCAGAGAGGTGGTGGAGTCTCCTTCGCTGGAGATATTCAAAACCCGTCTGGATGTGATCCTGGGCAATATGCTCTAGGTGACCCTGCTTGAGCAGGGAGGTTGGACTAGATGATCTCCAGAGGTCCCTTCCAACCTAAACGATTCTGTGATTCTGTAAAATAAATAACAATAATCTTTTAAAAAAAACTAATTTGGAATAAAATACCAAAATCTTACAATGACATCTTTTTCGGAGGCAACTTTTATTTTGAATTATTTCCATGTGGAAATTATTACTCAATCTATGCAACTGAAAAAAATCCTGGTTTTGTTGTTTTGTGCGCATGATCTGTACACAGAACCTTGAATCAGAAGGTTGTATTCTCTTATGTTAGTTCTGCTCGAGGTTTATATCAGAAGAAAAGTTGTATGTAGAACTTGAAGAGGCATAAACAGTAGCAAGGATCAGAGCTGATCTTTTGTTTTCTTAGGGACAGGTTAGGTGCGTTCATATTGTTCCTTTTTAAGAACCTGTTAAAGTGCTAAGAACCTATATTGTTCCTATTTTATGTTAATAGTAGTTTCACTGAGTGGTTTTAGAAAGGCATAAAGGAGTTCTATTATAATTGTAAAATACAGTTATCTAAAATATCTAAGATATACGTGTGTTTTGTTGCTGATTTTGGATTTGTATTTGTTGTTTGTTCCTTCCTAGTCTTTCAGTGAGTTTGGTTCTAAGTAGCGTTATACCATGCTCAGTTATTCATGATTTCATTTGTGATTTTTTTTTCTGTGCTATTTAATATTAAAATCATCTTTACTTTGAAGGTACAGAGAAATGATGCATGCCTTGAAGAATGTCATGATGGTTGTGGTAGAATCTTTGATTAACAAGTTTGAAGAAGATCAAATGCATAATAAGGAGCTGGATAGTAAAACAAAGAAAGAATGTCAAAGTGGTTATTATACGGACAACTGCTCTGACAGCGACTCCTCCTTCAACCAAGTACAATGTGTTATCTGTCTATGTTACACAATAAGCATTAAACTGAAAATGTGTTACACTCCTCCTGTGTAGTGGGTGGAGACTGAGAGGCAGCCCTAAGAAGTGATTCATCCTCCCTGTCTTTGATACCTATCCTAAAATGAATGGATTGATATTCTTCCACCCTTGAGTACTGAGTTTATACTAGATGCCTAACCTTTAGACAGTGTATGCTGGGTGAGAATCCTTCCCTATAATCTAGAGTACCTATTCAAGTATTATAAAAGAAAAAGACAAAGTAGTGATTGTGATTTTACTGTAGGAGTGAAGTAATATGCAGTTCATTTCTAGACTATACTATATTATTTGCACTATATTATATTGCACTATACTATTTACTGAATGAATTATTTTAAGGTAATTTATAAGATAGAGCAAGCTTCTAAATAAAACATAAGCAAAATGTATAAAGCAATTCTGTAACTGTAAATTTAAATTTGACCAAACCTCAGAAAACATTTAGAATGTTGACTTTGATGTTAAGTTAGGATAAATGTTAAAATACTAATTATTAAAAGTAAATTAGAAATCAACAAGACTGATGATTTTAATCTTCTGCTGTTCATTTTAATAAGATATACTAATCATAATTTTAAATGCATATTACAGAGCTACACATTCATGAATCAAGAACAATTGCAGCTACTTGTAGAAAGGCTTGACCCTATTCAGCCTAAGGAAGTAAGTTTAAAGGAAAAAATAAAAATTTATTAATGCAAACAAATGTTTATGATATTTTGAAAAAAAGATTGCAGGTACATAACCATCTTACGCTTATGTATATGAGTGAAAGCTTGCCTCTGTTGGCTCACATGTCTTGGCTTCAGTGCGGTATTTCATTATTCGCATCTGTCTGGCTCAAAAGCAATTTGTTGCAACAAGTATCTATAGTACATGATTTCGTAATAGAAAATGAGCATTCTTTACTTTAGAAAAGGTTATATGAAAAATAAAATTGCTGATGCTTGGTTTCTTATATACATGCCCTTTGCCCTTCTGCATAACTTCATGTTGTCCTTTGTGATACCCTTATCGGAAAAGAGATATGCCTATTGATTTGCCAGCAAACTGCTGCCAAATGGAATATACAATGTCTAGGTTAGGTTTGCTTTTCTGGCGGTACTAATCTAGCTCTCTGACCGCTGCTCAACTGCTGATACTTTTGAAGCTTGCAGAAACGTGATTATTTTGAGAGCTCTCGCTTTTAGTGAGATTTGCTTGCAATCATTATTTTGAGAACTTTCTCTCAGTGAAATTTATTTGCAATTGTGCAGCAATTGAAGAAGTCATGGCAGATGGGAACTGGTTGAAAATTGTGAACAAATAGACCTTGCTTTCCTAGAGAACCATGTAAAAATCTGATGCTATGAAATATCATTTTAACTTCCCTACAGTTGATTTGAGTAATATGAAATAAAAGACCAGATACTACATTTCTCTATAAATAGAACCAAAACAGATATTTAAGTTATTTAGGTTAAAAAGCTTATGAAAATTCAACAGTAGAACATGAAAAGTGTCTGGTACTCATTTTTCCTCTCTTCCTTACTGACTTTTTACAAAACAGCTAGAGTCAGTTGTGGCCTTTGAATGCTAAAAGAAAATGGTTCTTATAAGAAGGTAAAACAGAAATAAACATAATCCTTCCATCCAGTACTGAAAACCTAATTGTATAAAATAGTTTTGTTACTTCTTAAAAATATGTGCTTTTTGTTCTTCTCACTGACATAGTGTTTTGTCCAAATCACCATAAGAGCATGGAGATATTCTGGAACTCCTTATCTGTTCTACAGCCAAGGCCTGTTCCTTCCTTCCTCCCAAATATATTGTAAGTTACTTATTTGAGAGGTTGCAGTTGACAGAGTTGTGTTGTTTATCTTTTTGACTGCTTCAGGTGCGTCAAGAAGCTATGCAGACACTGTGCTCTGCCCCTCCCTCTGATATACTGAACTCTGAGAGTTGGCCCAATCTGCGTAAGCATCTAACGATGTCTCTGTCAGATCCTGATGCAACTTTCAGTGTAAGCTAATGCTCTGTATTCAGTCATCAGACATTTAGCTATAATAAAGAGTACTGAAGAGGAATATAAAGTTACATGTATATTACAAGTAGTCCAACAGTGTCCTAAGTCATTTGTTGCTATTTGCGTACATATCAGACAAACTGGTTTTAAAGGAAAAGAACTATTCCATCCTAATAAATCTTGACTTAAAGGTGGCTGCCACAGGATTTTAGAGGCACGAGTACTCCTTTATGTATTTTTAATGGGGAATTAAGAGGTTTGAATATCTTTTAACAAAGCAAAATGTAAAAACAGTCAACAAACTGTTCTGTAAAACATGTCATGTTAATATTTCCTGTTTAAGTCAGGTATGTACTTCAGGGCAGTGAAAAAGTGATGCTAATAATGTTGCACAGATGCTGATGAGGGAAAAATACAGTAGCTCTTAAAACTACTTTTAAACTGTTTATTCTGCAAATTAAGCCTTTTTTATTTGTTTTCTACTTTCAGTTTTAAAGTACTTCTGAAATAAATATAAGAGCTGCCTCAACTGCTGTCATGTATTTCTTTTTCATAGTTTATTAGGTCTACCGTTGGTTTCAAAACAATGCTAGTTTATAAGTCATTGGTATGTTTAGTAACATGAAAAAATAGCATTAATAAAAAAGTGCAGTAATATTCCTGACCTCCTGCTTTGTAGATCAGTGAGGCTCTGTGTTGGTGCTATCAATTGTAGTATTGAAGTAAAATTTCCTTGGGACTGTACGTTTCCATGGTCGTAAACTCTGCATTTTCTTAAAATATGCTTCACATCAGTAGAGATATCTGAGCAATATGTAATATTAAGAGTAACATCACTACATATCAGTGATTTTGCAATACACTGCACATGTATGTGCATTATGTATGTGTTTATGTAATACATTGCTTGCTGACTCTTTTTCTCCCTCAGGAGAAAATTTTGAGGTTCTATGCAAAAACTTTTTCTTCATCTCCATTTAATATGACAAGAGAAGTCTATACAAGTTTAGGTAGGTGCACTAAATTATGTTTAAGATTTCCTGATTCTTGATCTTCCTGAAAATCGGTTACATCTTACTATGAAACAGTCTAATAGAGTCTGTTTTGCCACTCTTGTCACGGAAGTGATTGTTTTTTCTTCTTTTTTAGCAAAACACTTGGAGTTGTACTTTCTTTCTGGAGAATATTATCTTCCTATTTCTGCTGGTCTGGATGTATCTAACACAGACATAAATCGTTTACTAAAAAAGGTATAAATGAGCTTTCCATACCTTCTGTCATTATTTTTTTATTAACTGAAACACCATGCATTATTTATGTTTTAATTATAACCCTTACATTAACAGGTGCGCCTTTTAAATGAATACCAAAAGGAAGCTCCATCTTTCTGGATTCGTCATCCTGAAAAGTATGTCATCATTCAATAATGTATTACTGTTTCTAAATTTAATGATTTTTAACATATAACTAGAGACATATAATTAACAAAAGAGTGGTGCCAGGGTGCATAGATGACTGGTCGGTAATAAGGAGAAAAATAGAAATATGGGGGAAAGTGGAATAGGGAATTTGCACAGGAATAGTCATAGGTCAGATTAAACTGCCTAGCTAGCTTTTAAAGTGTTTTGAATGCATGGTAACAAAAAATAATTCAGATATTTTACAAAGTATTAAGTATAATATTTTGCACTTAAAATATGCAATCATTTTGGAGAATAGTAGCATGTTGCTATTAAGTTTATTCCTTGTAACACTACAAGTATTAATAACCTTGTAAGGTCAAATTAAAGATAATATGGTTGATATTTACAGAATCACAGAATCGTTTAGGTTGGAAGGGACCTCTGGAGATCATCTAGTCCAACCTCCCTGCTCAAGCAGGGTCCTCTGGAGCATATTGTCCAGGATCACATCCAAACGGGTTTTGAAGATCTCCAGGGAAGGAGACTCCACTACCTCTCTGGGCAACCTGTTCCAATGCTCTGTTTACTCTGTTTACTTTAGTAAATTTACTATTTATCCAAACAATAAGAGGTTTACAGTAAATTTGCTTCTGAATGTTACTATTGGAAAGCTTTAACTGGTTTTTTTTTTTTTCATTTTTTTCCTATTTGTGTCATAAGATATATGGAAGAAATAGTGGAGTGTACCTTGTCACTGTTGTCAGTAAAATGTAAGCCTAGTCATCCTGCATCTCCAGAGTTTTTGAGTCCAGTCTATTTCTTCGCTCTGCTAGATATCAAAGCTGTTTGGTTCAAAAAATGGACGGTAAGCAGAAAAAAAAAAAAATTGATGTCTGACATGCATCTTGGAGAGTTGATTTATGACTATTAGCATCATAGACCTACAGTGACCTGATAAGGACATGTAATGAGCACTGCAGTTGCGAAGGTCTGGTTTCTTATTATGTCCTTTGCCCTTTAACCCTACTCTCTCCTTCCGTTTTTGTTCAGTTACCAGTTTTTATAAAATTTCTGGGAAGTTTATGCTCTTTAAGACTTAAATGCCTTTGTCGTAATTGACTGAGCTCCACCAAAAGGTGCAAATGGTTCTGTGGAATAACTGATGAGCAAGAGAGGCATGAAAGTACAGGTATACATGATAGAATATACACAACTTGTTAATTTCCAGTGGACATTAGGGCATTCTGCAGCCTACCATGTATAACATTATAATTCATGATTTATGTAACGTCGTATAAACATGTAGTCTAAAATTTTAGCATGGTTATTGATTTTGCTGTTTTACTGCATGTTCTACTACACATTGCGCAGACGTTTTCCTAATAGAATATGTATTTTTTTTTAAATTGTCATCTTACTATAGGACAGACAAAAGGTCCAAATCAGTGTAATACTGGTTTAGGCTAGCTGGAGTTTAATTCATCAAGCATGTTGCTGTGCATAGGATCCCTAATGGAACAGAACTGGAGATAACTTTAATTTTTATGTTCAAAAGTCAAACTATTTTTGAAGTTTGTAATAGTTATTCTTTGTAATTTTAGCATGCATATTACAGCAGAACAGTCGTGCTTAAACTTTTGGAAAAGAAGTATAAGTCTTTGGTAAGTCTACAATTATGGTTGTCATATTCTTCCTGGAACTTATTTTTGCTGTGTACATTGTAGTTTGAACTTTTCCCCCTTTTTCCTTTTTGTCAGAGCTGTTCCATGTTCTTTACCTAGATTAGTCTTTTTTATTTAATTTTTATTTAATTTTTGTTTTCATTAACTAAATCATTGTTAAATACAAAGAAAGGTATGTGACCTGATCTGAGTGAGGGGAAAATTGTATGCCTTATAGCAGGTGTTTATTATTTATTAATTCTCTATGTTGCATTCATATTACATTCATATTTAAAATTATTTCTATAAATGTGTGAAAACATAGCAAAAGATGGGTAAAAACTTGACATAAAAGCTATATGTTGAATTTACATTTTTGTTGGGAAGAGTCTCAAAACAAGTCATATTCTTTAAGTTGTGATATGAAGCATTAAGGATTCAAAGTGACAACAAAATGTATCAAATTGGAAAATGTGTGATAATGTAGACGCTAATGCTATCATATGTTCTGTATGGGAAGATCTCTCCACTAGGATGGAAATTTCATTGATTTCAGGGAAACTAATATAGATATGTAGTCCATTTATTATAGAACAGGACTTTGTAAAATCTTATACAAATTAATAAATGTAAAATACATATGAGTGATAAAACTGTAAGATGGGAAAGAAGGATGGGAAAGTATAAAAGACAGGTTTTCATGATTTGTTTATCTGTATGCATAGCCCAGAGCATGGAATAAGGCATGGTCCATGCAGCAAAAAGCATAAATGGGAAGTCCATTATCACAAGGCAGTCTAATATAATTTATAAGCATGGGGTAAACTTACAATTAAGGTTTGTTTTTTTTTTATTTTAGTACCTACCTTTGTTTATTTAACTTTTTCAACGTGCACATATTACTCTGAACATATGTGAAAAATATCTTAGCAGCTCCAAAATATAATAATTGTAAGCATACTTCTTGGTCATTTTTGCAAAACCAATAATAGCACTGGCAGCACCCAAAAACCAAACTTACACAGTTTCCAAATATAGATATATTCTGGACAAAAGTTTTCACGTGTGGATACGGACAGGTTTCTGTATTAATGATCATATAGCAACCAAATATTGATTATCATTAATTTCTCAAAATACTTGCATGTTCTTTCTACTCTTTTTCACCGATTAATTGTCTTAATGCTTATAGAATTGAAGTTTCTGATAATGCGTTTTAGTAGCCCCATAAAATTTTGCCTCCTTTTGGTTTGCCTCTTCATCCAAAACAGTGAAACAGGAACAGTTGTTACAGTGGTGTGAATATTTAGATTCTTACATTAAGGGGTAGTACTTGGATACGAAAGAAAATGAACTGATTGTAAAATGACAGACATTTTATTATTTTGGTTTTTTTTCCACAGATTAATGCAGCTGTTCAGCAATGTCTTGAATATTTTGAATTTTGCAAGTCAGCAGTTGACAGAATTCCTAGAGTCAGTGTTTTTTCCCAGCAGTGCTGTAGTAAGTAGCTTTCCACGTATTGCATGTGCATGTACATTCTCTAGGTCTTTGAGCGCGCTCTATCAAAAGGAAGACAAGCTATCTGTTGTTTTTTACCAGAACATGTTTTATGGAAGTCTTTTGAGAGAGCTGTACCAGCAGTGGTCACTTAATTATGCTGTATGTCTTTGTACACAAAATGATCCATGTATATTGTAGTAATTGTTCAAAGGGGTGTACATAGCAGGTAGGTACTGTGAAATAAGCAGATAGAGTCAAGTTCTAATTTTTTGGTTTTATTGTTCAAGGTGATAAGCAGAAGTTTTCTTACACTGGACCAGAATTACAGTACATCTATTTTGTACATTCACTGTGCCTTTTAGGAAGACTGTTGATCTATAAGCAAGGCCGAAATCTTTTTCCGGTACAGCTGAAAAATAGAAAAGGTAAGGGGAGGGCTGAGAAAAATGTAACCTGTTGAGTAACAGTGTATCTGTCAATATTGCGAATTTGTAGGACAATACTCTGTTCAGCAGTTCTTTACCTTGAAAGCTTTGTTAGAAGATGGCATTAGGTGATCTTAAGCATTAACACCATTTTTTAAATCTTTGATAGAAGTGATTGAATAGTTCACTCTTGTCCTTACATTTCGTGCATGAATTTCATGTTGAAGGAGAATTGCGTTAGTTTATAAGTGATTCAGTGTTCTAGGTATGGATAATGTCTTTTATTAAATCGGTTCTTGTAATCAGTTGAAAAAGAGACAGAAGTTCAGGATCAAAACTATTTTTCAGATGTGAAACAAAACCACTATTTCAGGCTAAATACAGATGGAAAAAAATTGCTCTGAGTTTAACTTATTAATGTAATTGTTAAACCATTGTAGAGGAAAAGATTGGTACCCGTGGAGGAGAGATATTAGTAAGGAGAGAAGAGATGAGATGGAAAGCTCTCTGAAGCTCAGTGAAATCTGCATGCCGTGGTGCATTGTGCAAGGTTAGCAAATAGAGGTGTATGAGGAAAATGGTAGTGTGCAGACATTAATGTCTGTATTAGTTCAGTATAGATTGCATAGCGTTTCTGGATGCTATTTCTGAGACTTGTCTTTTGAAGAATTTTGTACCTCTTGTTTGAGGATCAAGACTTAAAAGGTCCAGTATGAAGTGGTTGTCTTGTCAGGAAGAAACCATTCACTACCCATTGAGTCTTTTTGTCACGTGTAGATTGGCTGTATAGTCCACTCAAGCAGCGATCCATTGATGATGTTTACCTTTTTCCTCTCCCCTACAAAAGCTAATGATCTTACCATCTGTTCTCTTAATAGTGTCCTTCTCAGCTTCAAGGATGCCAACCCTTTACTCACAAATTGCCTGATTTATTAACATAATTACATTAAACTCAGAAGTAGTTCCTAAGCTGCCTTTAGCTAAACCTTTGTTGTTTTGTTTCAGACCTGAAGAAGAGTTTGTGTGTCTGACAGTTTGTCTCTTTTCCAGCTGTATCACTTAATCTAATAGAAAGGTAATGCGTTTTCCTACAACCACATATCCAGCATTCTCAAACTTTGGCTGTCATCTGTTTCAGTGGAAGACATAATAAGACTGCGGTTGGCTAAATTAGGAGCAAGATCAAGTTTTATAAATTGAACATGAAGTACTGTGGTAGAGTCCCTGGGAGATGCATGTCCTTTACTTTATCAGTTGTATATAATGCTGATGTTCTCAGTAAAAGAAAACATTGCTTATATATATATTTACAAAATCTACTTTATTTGTAAGATTAAAGTCACATGTTAATTTCCGGATTATGCTCTTCTGACTTTTTTTTTTATTATAGATTGCGTATCACTAACAGATCTGTTGGTATTATTTGCTCAGCTTATTTATTACTCTCCAAGTTACCCAAAGACAGCTTTGACAGTGCACACAGGTATGTTTTTTTATGTAATACATACTAATATGTTCAATAATAATAAGTCATTTGATAACTTTTACATTTTATAATTTTTAATTTGGGTGTGCTGTTTGTGCAAATTTTTTCTTCCTGTCTCCTTTTTCTGTCCTTCCTCAAACTGCATTAAATAGGTGCTTAATGAAGTTATGGTTCAGAAGTATTTACATAAGCTGTAGATATGTTAATATGTATGTAAGTTAAAAATACAGATAAATACTTCTTGTGTTTGCCAGACAATTATTCTCCAGCAAGTCTTGTTACAGAGATTCTGCAAGTTTTTTGTGACCAAACAGGATGTGCTGCTGAATGTTTATATACTGAGGCAGTGATGGATGCCCTACTTCATCCTATTCAAAATTTACTGAGTGGCACAGAGGTTTGTAGTAGTCTTTCAAGTAATATCTAAACCTGTGTAAGATCATCATGTTATAGAAGATGTATATAATTATGTGGTATCACGTCCTTTTTTTGTTTTTTAAATCAAAAACGTAGGATATTTTCTTTTATCTGCTCTGCTTGTTACTTGAAACATACTTTTATTCATTTTTAAATTCAGTTTGAAACTTGAAGTTAAGTGTTCTCAATACACAGAAAAGGTAAAACACGTAATACCTCATAGGAAGTTATTGTTTTTTAAATTAGAAAAAGGGAGAGAGGATTTTTTTTCAACATCCCTGGGATATATAAAAACTCTGGGAAGTATTCTCTACCCTTAAATACTTAAAGCCTTATTATACTTGTGTGGCAAAGTGTTTTAAGTTTCAAACAGTAAGTCTCTGGACAGAGACATGAGGATGAGGGTCCTAAATGCACATGGAGTACATTAGGAAGCTGAGCTGTCCTATATAGGGAGTCTTTGAGAGAAATTAATGGCTGATATGCTTTGAATTTACCTCCTGAGATTATAAAGGCAGCCTAGGATCCCAGCTTATGCACCTTATTTCGATTTTTAAAGTTAAATTATGTTAATGCCTTCCTAATTATTTCTTTTACAATGATTTGGTGTTTTTTTTTTTCCCAGAAAAGACTATATTCTTCATATTGATTCTTGTAAATATTTTTATCTATACTTTTTTAAAAAAAATATTTTTTAAGTGTAAACAATTGGTTTCCAAAAAACATATGAAAACATATGTCTTTTTTATGCTGAAAACCATGGTCATGCCAGACTTGATCACGTCAATAATTTAGATCTTTTTTGAGTACCTGCGCTGAGTACGGTAGCATTACTTGTACAGTATACATATTAGAAGGATATATGCACACATATTTGCAAGATCAACGCTTCAAATTGTCTTGTTATTATTTTACGCTGCAAAGATTTAATGCAGATATTTTAAATGACAAAAAAGGCTGAGCCTGTACATATTTTGGACACTGATAGGTGAATTTAAAAATAGTACTAAATCAGTACTTCATTGATTTACTGTGACTGAGGCCTCTGTAGTCCCTCATAGTCACATTGTATTATAAAGTCTGTATAACTGTCTCTGCTCTTTATTGTACATTAGTAAATTATCATTAGTTAAAAAAAAATTATCTCAATCTTTAACAGTTCCTCCCTTTTCTTTTTCTCTTTCTACTGTTCCCAGCTGTCGCTCAGGTAGCTGAGCTCTTATGAACTGAAAGCCTTCCTACACCTTAGTGTAGTGTAGGCTTGTTTGGAAAAAAACAGGTCGTATTCAGGAATATTTAATGCATGCATGAAAACCTGTTACGGCTGCACAATGGCAGTAGTAGTTCCGGATCTGTATATGGGTTGTAAATGTGGAATGTGTCCTATTTGTTCTAGTGAAGCTGCTGCACAAGTGCAAATTGATTTATGTTGCGTCTGGCAAATGGATACTCAGAAAAGGTAGTCAAAGTCAGGGTGACCCTCTTCTCCCTTTACAAGAATTGGGATCGTTTATCTGCTTCCCAACCAGGCCATTGGCATTTCTTAAACACCCTGAAATCCTGCAGCCTCATGTAGAATATGGTGTTTGTCTCTATAATGCTGGACTGAACCTATGTGATTTATCTCAAATGGAAGACTGGATTGAAATATGGTAAGAAATAGTGGTGCTGAAACTTTTGATCGTCTGGCCACACACCCTTATTAATTTTAGGAGGAGGAAAGGAACACATTGGAGCTGCATGCAGTGGTCTGTCCTCAGTTGCACGGTGGGTCTAATGAGCAAGCACAGTGCTGTTATTTGGGCTGTAAATCCACTCCAAAGAAGTGCAGGGCTTACTTGCCTTTTAAGCAGAGTAGTATTGCTAATCTCTTCTATAAAGGGATGGGGAAACTTGGTGGCAGTAAGCAGGAGTTGTCAGAAAGATTTTATGGACAGCAGTAGTGACCTTTTGGGCTCTGTAGCCTCTGAATTGCTGCTCAAACATAGCTGAGGTGGAACATTTTATTCACATTTTAAATAAACAAAGTACGATCTATTTTTTTGTCTTGTACACAGAGAGTAAAATAAAAAGTACTGTATGAAGAAACAGTGACAGCACAGTACACTCGTTTCTTGGAATCCTGAACAATGTCTCCCAGTAACCTAAAAATAAAAGTTCAAAGAGAGCTTTTTAACCCTATGTGTTACTGAAATTTTTAAATGAAAAACAAAATCCTATTTCTCTTTTAAGTTACTTAGTCCACGGGTATTAATAGTAAATGCCTTGAGTTTTAAAGTAGTAAGACCATTTATTTTTCCTCAGCACGCCGTATAGAGCTACCTATAAGAGAAGAAACAGGAGCTGAGTTGTATGGCTCCTTTAAAATCCTCTCTGCCATGAATCCTGCTGCCTTTGATGGATGAATGGGAAAGATTTAAGTAGCGGACTTTAGTTTTAGGATGGTGGTACTTATTCCCCACTTTGACATACTAGCTGTTTAACAAGCATTACCGGGAAACAGTAATCCCGCTTAGCTCAGCTCTCTTCAGAAACTTCCCAAAAATTCATCTCGCTGTTGACTCCTCTCTATTTTCCCTGGCATTGAATAGATGGAAGTTACCAAAGGGAATTTCTCCCTTTGATAACTGTGTAATTCTTTTTTGTAAGTACATCGTTTATGTATAAGTCCTGGGAATTGAGAGTGTTTCCCAGTTCCTGGGTGTTATGGTACACTCTAGTTGTCTCACAATCATATACTGAGAAAAGAGCTGAATCTACACTATTTTCTGAGGCATGTGGACAGGAACAGAATTTCACTGAGCATTTTTAGGACACTTGGAACAAGGCCTGCAGAACTACAACTGTTGAATACTGGCCCTGGGCACATCTTTGCCATTCTTCTGCTCCCCCAGGGTTTGGCTGCCTGGACTCAGGGCCAGCTTAGGTTATGGTACTGGTGTGCAGCCAAGGCAATCGCTGGGCTGTATCTGACCCTAATTACTATGTCTGCACCTGATCCTGAATCAGCTTTTTGGCTTGACCTTGTAGCTGTCTCACGTCCACAGACTTGTCTGGGGATTTGGACTATTGTCTGAACCTAATAGCATGACTGAACTGGGTCTGCGTGCCTTGCTTGGGTAGTGTGGGACTGCTCACCTGTTTGTTGGGGAGGCCTCTGCATCTATCTGTCTGCCTTGTGTCACTGCTGGCTCCCTTCCCCCTGCAGAGCAGCCTGCCCTCACTGCTCTGTGACAGGTTCTTCGTAGAGCACTGTGCTCTGCTTGCCCACTCTTGGCATTCTCGGCTCACTTACTAATGAGCAATGGCCAATTCAGCATTTATGCAGATAGGACATTCACCAGAGAGTGCCCCAGACAGAGCAGTCTGAATCCCAATGTTAAATGTTCAGGCCCTGTTGATTACAGCCCAGTTGTGTCTACATGGTGTCTGATGCAGGTAAGGAGTTGCCAGAAGACTACTGATTTGGTCCAGAGGGGAAGACCTCCCTCTTGATACCAAAGCAAATGACTGTTCAGGCCTACCTCATCCTAGAAAGAAACATGCTTGTGCTGTGACTTTGGAAAAGGAGGGAGAAGTAAGAAAGAGCAAGATTTTGAAAAGAGAATCTAACTGAGGTGGGCCAACAAGATCCTGTGAAAGTAGTTTTCCATTTCTAGCTGAAGGGTTAGTAATTCCTGCGCAGCAGAAAGGGAGTTGCCATGTTTCCCACCTTAATTAAGGTACTGTTTTTATACTCCCAGTAGGGTTATCAAGAGTCTCTTTCCACATTGATTGTGGGGGAAAAAGTTGTTAAGAAATGTCTGTTTTCCATATCTGTGCAGTCTGGGGGCTTGTGCCATGATCATTAAAAGTGGCAATTGTTGCCATTTGTCATGAAGATTTGAACATAGCCCACTTACTTATTTTGATGAACCATTAAACAGTCATTAGAAAAGTGACCTTTGGATTCTGCATACATAAGCCAGACTTGAATACAGATTTCACAAAAGCATTGAATTTTATTTTTATTTTTTTATTTTACAAACAGATGTATATAAATTGTCTTGAAACGACTTTAATTCATGTAGCAGATATTTTGGCAAGGATTGCTGCTGCAGAAGATGGCCTTTCTCTTCTTATTTATGGAGGAAATGAAAACTCTGCCAAAGACAGGTAAGACTACATTAATTAATTATATTAGTCATATAAAATGAGACTTACTTTCCATTTTTTCATTTGTTTGTAGCACACCATATGTTTTGTTTATGCTTTGAGTAACACTATCTGATGATCAAGTAAGATAGGAAGTGTTTTAGAGAATATATTATGGAGACTCGCCAGGGAAATGGCACTTTTAAGAAATACTATTTGTTAAAGGGGAAAACATGGTTTACATATTTTTCTTATTCATGTGAGAGAGCTTTCCTTTCTGAATGTAATTCCAATATTCAGGCCAAAGGCCTCTCTTCTGTATGTTTCCTTTGAAATGAATATTAAAAATCAATCTTTTTATTGGAAGAATAGATTTAATGTAGCATTTGGATCGGCAGTTAAGAGACATACTTTTTAAGACAGAAGGAGAGAGAGATCGCTCATCAGAAGCTGTCATACATAGCAGCATGTCTAACTTCGGAGCTTGTGTCATCCAGTGGCTAGCATATTGTTAGATGATGCTAAACAGGGCAGTAAAATTGAGTGTAGCCTTTAAAAGTAACTAAGCTGCAGGCCATGAAATAAGCTGAAAAGCCGTAGCTGTCAGTTATTTGGAATATGTGCCCTCTGAGTGGAGGAGGGTGGGGTGTTGAAAATAAAAGATAACGTTTTGAAGAAAAAGTTATCCTTTGTGTTACTAACCTAGAAGACTTCAGAAGCAGATCTCGGTGGGGAAAGAGAAGAACAAGGACAAATTTTGCCTCCTTATGTCAAGAAGAGTAGTACTGATTAAGCAAAAGCTAAAATGACTGTCATCTTCTTCCCGACTAGACTCTTTCTAGAAAGACAGACCCTATGTAGCTGGTGGCCATGTGGGCTAGATGAAAAGCAATCCATCTGTTTTTGTTTCATGTGGACCTGTAGGCAGAGTAAAATCACTTGCTATACGTATTCTTCTCTACTGAATGGTGTTACAGAGATTAACAGAGGGGGCCAGAGTTTATTTCCATTACCTTTATGCGAATTTAAAGAAGCTTATGCAAAGGATTTGTTTCAAGCTTAATTGGTGACTACAAAACTGCATTTTAAAAGTGTTATTTTATTTCTAGTCCTACAGCTGTTCATGTAATTGTTGAGTTTACAAAGAAACTTCTTCATGACGACATTTCTCTTTTACCTGGATCCGAGCTTTTGCCAGTTGTTAAAGGAGCTTTCATTTTTGTATGTCGTCAGATGTACAGAACCTGTGAAGGCCTGCAGGTGCTTATTCCTTATAGCTTGCATGAATCTATTGCAGAGGCGTGGAAAAAGGTAAATCTCATCCGGGATTGGGAAGATTAGCAAAACCTTACTGTAAGAGTTTGGTTTATGTGGTAGTTGTTCTGTGATTTGGATTGTTTATGTTTAGAATGCTGAGATAAGAATGCTTGGAAATTCATTCTTGTTCTAAAAATAAAATTCTACTTTTTCAATTTTTCCTTCTGTATGTGAACCTGGCAGGTGCTTAGTTTGAGACTTCTGTGTTTTAAGATTAAACCAGGAACTCTGAAGTGGTATAGGCAGACCTGTCATTCATAGATTAACTTCTAACAATTGTCCTTGATAGAGGTCATCTGATATCATAATAGCCAGTATCCACCAGACATCTGATTTTCACTCTCCTTTTTGGATATATAGAAAGAAAGAACTTCTGAGATGTCTTAGTAATATTTAAGATAAGCTAATTAGTTTTATGGGGAAATAAGAGGAAAAAGGAATTTCCAAATGTTTGATTAATTTGATTAGATGCCATTGAAACATTTTCAAGAGACCTTATGTGGTGCGCAGACAGGAGATCTTCTCTTACCTGTATACTTGGATATCTTACCAAAGTGTAGAGACAGTACTTCAGCTTCAGTCTGATTGCTAGTATAATTATTTTTCTACCTGAGGGAACTTGAGCTCAGCAGTTCTGCATATTGTGCTTGTACTGAACATACTTCATTCACTAAACTTTTCTAATTTTGTTGTTCTGATAGCCATATGCAGCGTGAAAATTCTTGCCCGTAATTATAACCATATAGTTGACATGGAAAAATGTCTTTGGATGCAGCAGTAGCAGTTTTCAGTAAGTTCACAGTGAAGTAAAATTCAAACAAACCTTTGAATCGTTAGCATTAGTTAAGGATAGCATACAAAACTTCAGCTTTGACTTCCAGCTTAACTGAAAGTGTATTTGAAGTATAGACATTAAAAGTTTTAATGGAAAAACAAAATAAACTTGTTTATTTTTATGCTAAAAAATGGAATCATCTTTTTTTTCCTCCAGTGACTGTAATGTATTTGCTTAGAGGCAAAGGATCTGACCAAGCTGGAAAAAAAATTGAGTAAACGACTAAAGAAAGAGGGAGAGAGATTTGAATACAAGAGGAGCAGAATAGAACAATTATTCTTCCTGTCTAATGCTATATGCTTTTATTATAATTAGAAATTTTAGAAGTCACAATGTATGCTGAGGCAGAAAATATCAGAAATATATAACCTGAATAGAAGAGAGACTTTAAATCATCAACTTGTTGTGGATATTTCTCACTGCTTTCACATACGAATATTACTATGAAAGCATAAATTTTTGGTTGAAAATAAAATGTATTATTACTTAGAATCATAACTATATTGCAGTAAACTCAATTTCTCATCAAAGATTCTTTTTGAAACTAATGTTACATTGTGAACCCTAGAATTTTACTGAGTTTAGTTCAATTGAATCATGCTGTAATTTACATAAGAGTCTGTCTTTTTATGCTTTTCTGTTATGTTACTAGTCAGTCTTACCTGAAATAACTTGTTTTTTCTATTTAATGTTTATCCCATGCAGGCTCTCATATGAGCTTTTCCAGTTATTTGCTCTAAAGCACCATAACGTACTTATGCAGAGAAGACTTCTATGAGCATTAAAATCCTTTGCTATAGTATAGAACATCATTTAGACAAATTGTTTTGACACATACAAGATAAATAGAATGAATTTGTAGAATTAAAAAATCATCAAACACTTAACGGACAAAATGCCATTTCTTCACTTCATTTTGGAGGTCAAGTTGAGACTGAAGTGCAGTCTCTGTATTCAGGACTTCAGGAACCAACAAGCTAGTACACCAAAGTCACGTTTTCAACTCTGCCATTTTGATTATTTTTAATAGTTTCCTATCATTGGCCTGCTTTAAAACAGCTATAGTTTATAAAATATTCTGCCATTTATAATGTAGCTAAAAGATTAGACTTTGATTTAAAATAAAAGTTCTGTATAAGCACCTGCTATGAGGTTTAATGGATAGACTAGTGGTTTGTTTCATCCTATTTTACATGCCTCTTGGAGATTTAAGACTGATGGACAAACAATTTTCTTTCAGGACAGATCCTCGTAGAATTCTGGGACAAACAGTGGCATTAGCGCACAGATAAAAGGGAACTTGGCAGATCTGGGACCACTAATTACTTTAATAGAGGAATCTTTTATGGACAAATTAGATAATGTGTTTATAACAGTGTAACTTCCCTGTCTTCACTGAAATTAACATCTGTATTATATAATGTGTACTGCTACTTTCATTTGAACGAATAGTGCAATATGCTTCTCATCCCTAGAAACCTAACAAGCTTAAATCATTGATCTTAAATATTAAATGTTTTCTCCAACATTATTTTCAGATATTATATAAATTGCTGGTCTTATCAAGTGTAAATATCAATATATGTGTATGGTAATATATGTATATAAATATACATACAAACATGCATACATACTTTTTTGCATGACATTTTGTGACTTTAGGAGTCTCTAATTAAAATTTTTTTAAAAAAGAATTTTAAGAAATACTTTAAAAATGTAGTCAGCTTTATCATGTTTTATACCTGAGGAAAAAGTGGAAAATAATTTTTTTCTGGATAAAGAATGTAATGGAATGATATATTCTCTACCAAAGGCTAGATTAGAACCTGGTCACCCCCCCCCCCCTCTTTTTTTTTAACAAGAGCTAGAGAGGTCTGGCGTTTAAAAATGATGTAAATGAACTGTAAGTGTGGTTGTTTTTTGGGTTTTTGTTTGTTTGTTTGTTTTTAATTTCACAGACAAGTTTGCTTTCAGAAAGAATTCCCACTCCTGTGACTGGTGTAAACTCCACCTTGTCAATAAGTCAAGAGTCAAAAAACATGTAAGTATTGATATTTAACTTAGGCACATGCACAAGTATGAGCGTGCACTGATACTTTACTGACGTTTGAGGCATCTCATAACCCTGTGTTTTGTTAGGCTTTTGCCAAAAACATTCTGGTAGGTAAATGGAGCGGTGTCATCCTAGCATAGGGGTCCACCAAGTTGCAAAATTGTTCTTGACCTTTCAGCACCTCATTCTCAGAAATTCTAGACCATTTTCTAGCAGAAGCCTTTTTGTCCTCAAGCACACGTAAAAAAAGTTCTAATAATTTGTGAGTTTTTATTAGTTGCTCACAGTGTTTTTTCCATTGGTGAGAAATCCTGTACCTGCTTTGCCAATTTGTAACTTCCACATTAATACTTTAGAAGATTTGTCCAGACTCAGTTAATAAGTCATTTAATTGTGATAAAAGTCTTTTGGTTCCTGAAGGAATCATCTATATATTCTGTGCTTCTCTCTCATCATTGAACCTTAGTTCTGCCAGGTTGGGTTTGGATGTTTGTACAGAATTGTCTAATATATATTGTAACTTTGTCAAATACTTCTTTTACTAACATAACATAAGCATAGTCCAGACATTTTTGTGTTTTAAAGCTACAAATTGTAGTGTTTCAGTTGTTTCTCCTTGCTTTTTTCAAATCTTGTAATGATTGTTTTGCTACTCTTACAGTTTGTTGTCGGAAGAGACTTTGTTAGATGCCTTATTACATTTTTCTACCACACCAAAAGGACTATTTCTGCTTCATAGTACAGAGGCCTTGAGTGACTGTGTGACTTTTATGTTCAGCAGAATATCAAAAAAAAAACAGGTAAGCACTACAGACTATGTGCAATAGGGTTTTTTTGGTAAATTATTGTAATAAGAGAACAAGGAAAACAAGGAGCATATAAAACCATGAACCATTTTTATTTAATTTTTGCAAAAATTAATATAATATGTAGCTCATCATCCTTGATGCTTACCAGATAGATTTAATTTTGTTGCATATCATTCATCTTCAGAATGCCAGACATATATTCAGCTATGCTGACTTTTTCCTGTTAAGTTTCAAATGAAAAACAAAAGATTTCTTTTTTTATTTTTCTAAGTTCAAGGTTTTCTAAACCAGGATGGTAGGTGATGATGAAATTAGATACAATATGCAGTATTTAAAGTGTTAACATGTAAAACATCAAGAATATATATTTTAAGGAGGAAAAGCAGATAATGATATGGAGGTCCTACTGAACGGTGGAATGAATATTACAGTATTAAAATGTTTATTCTTTATTGATGCTACATTTCCCAAATAACAAAGTATTTGTCATTTTTATTTTGATGAAATAGTTTACTTGATAAAGATGTTTGGGTTGTAAACTGACCATGGCAAATCTGTAGAGGGTAATATTTATGAACTGTTCAAATATAATGACAAAGTGGGTTAGATGCTGTAAACGAGTACAGGAAAGATCAATATGTGAGAGATTATTTAAGGGTTCCACGAACTCTGATACAACTAACACTTCACTCTTTGTATTTGTTACTAGCAGACAAATGAATGTGAGGAGTTTGATAACGGAGTGATTTTTACACAAATGGCAACAACACCAAAAGGTGCAGTAGCTCTACAGAGTTCAGGTAATTAGAAGAACAATTTTATTATGAATAGTGACTTGCTGTAGTCACACACGTTAGAAGAAGATTGTGAGAACAATGTTAAAAAAGATGAACTGATGGGAATAGCTATGTAATATTAGGAAATGTCTTGATTTCTTCTTGCTGGGAATTTATTCTTTCAAATTCTTAAGTCATTCACTTGTCCTGATGCAGTAATTTTTTTTCTTACGTTGCACTCAATCTTTATTTCATGGTTTGGATTTCCAGAAATTTTCTATTTGTGCATAAATGCATTTATGACTCTTAAGAATAAGCTGCTAACAAGTTTCAAGTGATCGTTGATCTACAGATGAGAATTCATAAGTGTTGATTTCTGTAACTGGTGTATGGTTTTCCATGGCTACTGACTTCTCAAAGAGCGAGAGAATGCACAGACCCAAATGTCATTGGCTCTTGTATACACTAGTTAGATGGAATTGAGATTTTCTGAGTTCTCATATGCCAACTCATGCGAGAAAGCCCCTTCAGGTTCATTCTCAGATAACTCAACTGTTGTTATACCATACAGGGGCCTACGTAGTCAGTATGTTAACAAGAATCTTATCAATAAAGTAGAGTAGTAACATCTGAAGTTGTTAAGGAAGTCCATGAGGTACATAAGTTGTAAATGTTGTCTATCAGTATCTAGAAGTCATTGGCATGTAGTTAAAATGCTTGACTGAAAGACCGTCACAAAGGCAGGCAAATTCTGCCAGTCAAGGAAATTGGTTGTTAATTGTTTGTTATTTACACTTCTGGGATCTTTCTGAAATTAAAGAGCAGATGTACTTGAGTAACTCCATCTGTCCTGTTTAAGGTTCTTGGCCAAGTCACTTGTTGTGGCCCTTGGTGTCAAAAGCAAGTGGTAGACCAGAAATAATCAATGGCAAGTTCAACATTGATTTTTCAACCCTGAGAGGAGGTTGTATAGTGTCTGTAAAGTTGTTACAAATAGTGATTTACATTTGGAGATTTTAGAGTTAGAGGGCTATCTTTCTCCTTCTTTTTTATTTAATATTTAGCATTTTAGATTTGGTTAATAGTATTTTGGTAAGTTTCACAGCACTGAAAAATCTTTTTATCATAATGATATGTTTTCCTTTATTGGTGAGTTAAAGTAAATTTCCTATTTTTAAAGCCATGGGGCCACCACTACAGAAGCGCTGATCTATAGGAATTAACTTACTAAGGAAGACCAGCAGCTCATTTACATTGAAAGATGCAATATATATAAATATCATCCTACTCCTATAAAATATTCTTTGCAAGCTGCTACTGTAGATTTTAGGCTGAATATAAGCAGCACACTGTAGAAAGGTAGGTTGACTGAAGGATTGTGCATAGGGTGAATAAAATGTTTTTGAACATTTTTTTTTTCTTGCATTCATACCATTCTCATAATTAGAACAAAAATTTTTTTAGGCTTTATAAACGCACTTGTAACTGAACTGTGGGCTCTTCTGGAGTGTGGAAAAGATGATGTGAGGATAACTGAACCCAGATCTACTCCAGTTGATCCTATTGACCAAAGCTGTCAAAAGGTGAGAAGTTACTTGAGTGAGGAGAGAATAATTTGGTAATATTTGTATATATTGGCATAGAAAACAGCATTATATTCTACCTAGGATGTTTACGTACCTTTCTGATTTTTTTTTATCATGACTATTCTTGCTTCTAGACAAGAAATACACTAGTCAAGTAATGACATATTGAAAGAGTCCTTGTATTGCATGGAGAGTCACAATGCCAAAGATCCATTAAAGTCAGTGTAAAATAATAAATAACAATCATGACAATAGTGAAAATCTTAAAATCCTGTCCATGAGTTCAAGTCTCTGAGTATTGTAGAAAGATCAGGGATTGTTATCCCTGTGTTTTAGAATAGGCTTTGTGCCTCTGAATTTTGCAATTAGATAATAAATAAAGTAGTATAGCTTTCAAAAGAATTCCGAAGTTATTTCTAGAATTCTATTTCATTTACACCAGTGGAAAAAACCTCAGCTTTTACTAAGCCATCTGCTTGTGTAACTTGACAGTTTATACGTATTTCACAGATATTGCCGCCCTTTTAGACTGTAGATACACCTGCCAGGTTTGCAGCCTTATTTTGGGCAGCTCAATGCATATCAAGTTCAGCCTACGTACAAGATAAGAAACTTGAATTAAATGCCAAGTAATTTTATAAATATGTTTGGTTATACTTACTTGATTAATAACCTCTTTCCTCCACCTGTTCTTCTTTTTTACTTTTTTCCTTCGCTAGTCTTTTCTGTCTCTGATAAACTTACTCACCTATCCTGCAGTTTTTGAATTCCTGAGTAGACAAGACATACCAAATAAACCAGTGTATTCACACCGTGAAGTCCCTATAGATATAATTGTAAGTATACTTTTTCTTTTGAAAGAAAAATAAATACTCCTATAAAGATATTTTTTCCTGAGAAAATAATTAAAAATAATACAAATTCTTTCTTATTATTACTGAAAGATGTTGAAGTTTTCTGTATTTTGTATTTTATACAGCATGAGGGCAGTATATGCACATATCACTTCATGTTAACCTAAATTTTCGTTTTGAAGTCCTAAAGATAATACGAAATTTGTTGTCCAATTTAAAGATCTTTCCTGGCTTGTATTTGAAATGTGTTTTTCCAGGAAAAGTAACTTATATGCACATACCCAGATGTTCATATAATTGCATGCCTACACATATGTTTTATATAATCTTGTTTTATCACACACTGTGAATTCAAACAAAATCTTAAAAAGTCAATCCTTCTTAATAGTGCAGACCATTCGTACAAGCATAAAATCACTAATTGTAAAATTATTGATTAAGGGATATTTCAATCTTAAGTAAAATAGTATTACTATTTTGGTAGTTAAAATTATCCTGTATTATCTGCATATCCTGTATGTCTACATATCTTGTATGTCAACATATCCTTTGTTATTTAGTAGCTAGTGTTACCCTGTATCCAACCATAATGCACTTCTTTTTTTCTTATCTACATATCGCAAGAAAATTTGATCTGTGACCTTGAGTTGCACTTAAAATTAGATCTTTGCTAATGAGTCAGCAATTTGAATTGGCGTTGCATGGAAAAGTTCAGTGTAAACTCTGGATTCACAGTGAACTGAGTTGTTTAGACAGTGTGTATTGTAATAGTGTTTGCTGTCTTTGAAAGGATTTTTGTTGTTGTTCTGTAACACTGTTTAGGTGTTTTCAGGAGGAAATGTGGTGATAGGTATAGTTTATCCAACCTACTCAGTGTTGTTATGTCCACTAATGGATAGTTTTGTTCAGTAGTAAGGTTTTCTGAGGCACTGGAAGCAGGTTAGATGTGCGCTGAAGGTAGTGTATATTTGAGAGCTATCAGATTGAGGTAGATCTGAAGTAATAATTGTATGGCTTTTGAAGGCTTATGTCCCTTTGACATTTTAGCAACTTCAGCAGTTTGGTGGAATTTTTTAATTTTCCCAAAATAGTAATACTGGTACTATTGTTGAAAGTTTCCTGAACAGTTGTAGATACAGGTGTTTTGGATGGGGTTTGTTTCGCTTATCTGCCGTCCAAAAGGCAATTGTATAAGTCTAAGATAGATCCAAGATGAAGTAGTTAACAGAAAGAAAACAGGTTGTTTAAAGGGATGTTCATCTAACCTTAATTTATATCTAATGGGTAAGTCTAAGTACTCAGAAAACTTTGGGGGTTAGGCAGACACAGAGGTTTGTTGCAACCTTATATATGGTCCCTGATTACAAATAAGTAAAGTATTTAACTAGATAGAGCTATGGTTATAAAGGAAAGTAAAAGCAATTTCAGTGCCACTGGTAGATTTGGAATAAAATCTGTCAGTTACCATCCACGTAGGCAGGAATGGGACTAGGAAGGCCAAGGCCCGTTTGGAGTTTAAAATCTGGCAAGGGATACCAAGGAGAACAAGAAGAGATTCTTTAAATACCTCAGTAACAAAAGGAATACTAGGGAAAACGTGGGCTCACTACTGAATGGGGCAGAGGCCTTGGTGATGAAGGATACAGAGAAGGCAGAGATACTGAGAAGGCGGGGATACTGACTGCCTTCTTTGCTTTAGTCTTCACTGCTAAGGCCAGCCCTCAGGAATCCTGGGCTCTGGACACCAAGGAGAAAGTCTGGAGAAAGGAAGACTTCCCTTGGTTGAGGAGGATCGGGTTAGAGATCATTTATCCAAGCCTGACATCCACAAGTTCATGGGCCCTGATGGGGTGCCCCAATGAGTGCTGAGGGAGCTGGTAGATGTCATTGCTAGGCCACTCTCCATCATCTTGGAAAGGACATGGAGATCAGGAGAGGTGCCTGAGGACTGGAAGAAAGCAAGCGACACTCCAGCCTTCAAAAAGGGCAGGAAGGAGGACCCAGGGCCAGTCAGCCTCACGTCCATCCCTGGAAAGGTGATGGAACAGCTCCTCCTAGATGCCATCTCAAAGCACGTGGAGGACAAGAAGGTGATCAGGAGTAGTCAACATGGCTTCACCCAAGGGGAATCATGCTTGACCAATCTGATAGCCCCCTATGATGGGACAACTGGCTGGGTAGATGAGGGGAGAGCAGTGGATGCTGTCTGCCTGGACTTCAGCAAGGCTTTTGACACTGTCTCCCATCACATCCTCACAGTCAAGCTCCGGAAGTGCTGGCTGGGTGAGTGGACAGAGGGAGGTGGCTTGAGAACTGGCTGGATGGCAGAGCTCAGAGCGTTGTGGTCGGTGGTGCAGATTGATCTGCAACGTTGTTCTGATCAGGCCCTCTGTTGAACCTTGTTCACTCTCTTCCTTCCTGATATCCCAAATCAAAGCTTGAATTGTTTTCTTAGTACACCTATACCAGTGCCTCCTCTTTCTACTGTTTTACAGGCTCCAAGCTTGGATGCATAGTTGAGAGAAGGAAGTTTTTGCCAAAGAAATAGCCCTTGGCATCTGACTCTTTGTACTTGCAAATATATAAAAAGCCCTAAAACCTGAAATGAATCAATTGCATGTATTACTGATTTTATTGCCAGCTACTGATTGTTTGATCATGTATCAACAGATTTGAGGTCAAAGTTGAATTGTTTTATTGTGAATTTTAACATGAATTTTTTCCACCCCCCCCGCACCCCAGAATCTAATAGGGGAAATATGGTTTCACTTTATTTTAACTAAGAATACATTTTAAGACGATAGTTTGCTTTGGCAAACTTAAAAGTTTTTTCTCCAACTGTGAATTTTACTTGTGGTATTTACTTCACTGTATATATTGAAATATCAGCTTTGGTTGATTTCCTGAAAGTATGGATCCTAAATTTTTTCTAATATGATATTGAAATGACTTATTGATCTGAACACTTGAATAATAATTCCCTGTGAGGCCATACTTATTAAACAGAAATAAAATGAAAGTTTGGATTTAATCCAGATTTCAAACAGCCCGTAAAGACTTTCCAGTTTGTTTTTCTGTATAATGTAGCAATCGGTTTCTAAGAAGATAACATCAGTGGATGTTTTTGTGCAGTTCTTGCTCTTTTTTTTTAATGAAGTTATTACTTTAAAAGCCATTTGGATAGGCAGTAAACCAGAGGAGATTTATGGAAGAAATAGGAAGCAGCCATAGGTCATTGTCTATTATGTTAGACTCTGTATGATGAAGGAAATAAGACTCAACATCCAAGCCAAACCTTGCTGCACATAGGATTGATAGCCATACTTCAAATCATTTAGTACTATCTAGTGTTAGAGAGGCTATTACACTAAAGGTATTGCTCTTTCAGTCTGGTATGCCTTAATTAATCATACTCCTGTGTTCATTTCATCAAAATAGTTAGATGTATGCACATTTCAAATATATAGTAAACAGTTTTAGTGTGAATTAATATTAAATATGAAGTAGAATACTTGATATGCTAGGATCTTTTTGTATGTTTAGTGATTTTTTTTCCTACGTTCTAAGTTCTTTTGTTTCCTGACCTTCCGTACTGGTTCTTCTAGCCTTTGACTTTAAGGGTGGAGAGCACGTCTTGTTAGAAAAATAATTTTTTTTTTTTTTTAAATTATAGGTTTCATTTTGTAGTAAACATCCCTATGAAAAACAAAATATATTTGATATACAAATATATATTTTGATATACAAAATCTGAAGACATACATGAGCTTTTTTCACTTATCTTCTTTTGGCAGGATATCATTGACAGGCTTATAATTTTGAATTCAGAAGCTAAAATTCATTCCTTATTCAGTTATGAACAATCACATATGTTTGGTCTGAGGTAAGATGCTCTTTTTTTTATTCTTTGGTCACAATAACTAAATAGTATACAATGTGTTTTTATGCATTACTTCTGATGAGCTAATGTTGCTTGGTTTTTATTATGCATGAAGGTTAAAATCACTTTTTTTTGTTTGTTTGAACATAGGAAGAGTGAATGAAAAATACATCCTACAAAATGAGAATAGCAATGAATCTAATCTTATTACAGCAAATGGTTATATTGTAATATGATAAGCAGTAATAGGAATTGCTTATTGTTATTTTGTCTAGTTGATTGAAAAAGAAATGTGGTACATCCATCATAGTGTACCAAAATTATACCAAAATATAAAATAAACAAAGTATTTTAAATCATGCTCCTATCAGGCTTTGGTTTGTATAGTATCCCTGCAGTGTTTTTATTTTTTTTTGTTTGTTTTTTTTAATGTATCAGTTAAATTATCACTATTTTCACCAATACTCATTTTGAGAAGCACAGTATCATTGGATCCCAAATATTTCTAGAACCTGAAGGAACGTTTCAAATGTGCTGTCATGCTCATTTAAATGTGTTATAGTATTTTGACATAGAAATCACAGTTTCTCTATTTTGTTTTTCTAAAGCTGAAGAATACATAAATTTATTAGTTTACATTTTTGTTAGTAGTATCTACAGTATGTACAGAACAGTTAAAATAAAATCTCTGTTGGATTTGTGCCTCCTAGTATAGAAGATTTTGATAACCTTGCTTGGGCAGGTTTAAGGGTCAGTGGATTATGTACTGCAAAGTTAGCTCTCTTTAGCCGTATTTATACTATAGTATCACAATAACATGATTATATACTATGGAATGAATAACCATAAATTATAGTATAAATTACTGATAAGGATGAGCATGGAGGTGATGAACAGTAACAGAATTTGGATTGGGAGATGTATGCTCTTGTCCTGTGAGTCAGGAGTTACAAATACTGTTTTGGAAGAAGTCGCTAGCTGGATAGGAGTGAGAAGTCCTAAAATGGAGTTAGAAAATAAAGATGTTATTAGGTATTCAGGATTATCCTGACTCCATAGACTTGACAGAACTCCCACTGATTTAATTAGGGATATGGGAAAGTGAAATGTTCTGAAGTTTAAAATACTCGTTTGCTTTGATATTGTTTTCTACCTTTATCCGATGCTGCCTAAAAGAGGTAAAAGAAGAGACTTGTGCTGTGATATTAGGAACCCTTGTAGGTTGTAAGCGGAAATGAATTACTCTGTCTGAATGCAGAAGCAGTTAATTCCTGTAATGTAAGACAGTGTTAGGCAAGTACATGAATCCTGTGTTGAAGTTGTGTTGAATGTTTATAGTATTTTTAACAAGGCCTATATCCTGTGAAGCAACTGAACTACCCATAACTGCTCATATGAGCAAAATAACTAGTCCATCTATAGTCACATAAAAGAAGCCGTATATTTAAGCAGATAAGATAAGCTTTACAGTTCAGAAGTGAAAATTTTCACTGATCCCTGACCAAGTCAAAAAACAAGTGAAAAACCAGAGGATGGCTGTTGTTCCTCTTTTTCAGTTCATATGTAAAGTCAAACTGCCAAGCTTCAAGAAAAGATTAAGTAATATTTTATTTTTAGTGTGGAAACTTCCCGTTCATGAAAGTGGTAGACATCTTAATAATTAAGTTGTAAGTAAATGAGGGAAAGATTCTTAAAAGGTTTAAATGTCATTTTCAGTAGAGGCTTTTTCTTCTACAGAGGCTTTTGGAATCCCAGTAATACCAGGACTTCATACTTAACCTCATATTTAGCAGATTCAGTCTTCACTGTGCTGTTTAAGAGCCCTCCCCCCCACTGCCCCTTTTATTGTCTTTTGTATAAAAGAAAATAAGATACAATTTAGGGATTATGAAACAGGCCTGTGTATACCAGAAATAACGTAAGTGCTTATTTTCTTAGTGATTAAATGGCTTTTTAAGAGCGTGTGGGGCTTTCTATACAAATATTTTTTGCAAATAATAGAGAATAGGCACCGTTACCCTTTGATTATGACTAAATCAACTGCCTGCACAAAGAGAACTCGTACTATTACATAGTTATTCAGAGTTCCCTACTGAAATGATCTTGGAATTCTGGCTTATTGTTGCATGTACCATGTTGTTTACACTACTAAAACTTGCAAGAAGCTCTTACCTGTATTATTTTAACGAGAAAGGTATGTAGTTTATTTAAAATACCTTTTGAAACTAAGTTGTTGAAGCTTTTTTGTGTGCACTGCTGACTGCAGACATCTGTGTCTGTATTAAAACTTACAGGTATATGATTGTTAGGCAAAAGATAACTACATGGGTATAGAAAATCCATATAATAAACACTTGCATTCTTTTCTATTGTTTTTCCATCTTCATTGTAAACACACCCTCTTATATATAATTGTATTTTAATAATGAGGTAATTTCAGCATATGAAATAATTTTTTCTCTTAATTGCGCTTACTTTATTTATACTGCTGATTAACAGAATGTGTGATTGCAACCCAATGAAAAGAGCATTAATTATCTTGGTGTATAAAGACAGAAGGTATGAATCCTTAGCTTTGTTTTCCTTGGTTCAATATGCTGTCCAGAGTTACCCCTTTTCTCTTTAACAGAATGTCTCCAGCATCATGATTAACAGGTGCTTTTTAAAGGAGTTCTCATATAATTCTTTAAAAGTTCGTTCATTATAAATTGAAGTGAGACTTTTCATATAAAAGTATTTTTTCTCTATAACTTTTATCTTTAATTTAATCAAGTTAAATTTTCCCTTAAGAAAACATGACATTATTTTATGAGTTTCATGTTTTCTTCTCCATCTTCTGCTTGTGCAGCCAGAAAAGAGGCTATACCTCTTGTCTTCAAAATATATCTTTATTTTAAATATACTGACATAGCTGATGACATGACTGTCTGGTGTGTCTGATGGATCTTTTCATCACCAGCTTTTGAATGACAGGGCCAATACGTCTAATTCTGCAACAAAATCTGTGATGCTATTGGCTAGATGTACTCAAGAAGTCCTTCTCATACTAATGATGTGGCATTCTCTTAGATGCAGTTATGTCTTTGTGAATGAAAGCAAGCCATGAACAGTAGTTTGTCCTGCCTTGTGCCTTAAGGTTAGAGGAGGGAAGAATATGGTGAGACAAGGAAAGAATCAAGTCTGACAGTATTTCTCCCTTCCTCCAAATGTACCAGATTTGACTTGTCAGACCTTGGAAGGCTGAAAGACTGTGTAGTCCTCCAGTTATTTTCTGTCAAGCCTTATTTATTTAAATAAGCAGAAAAGATTGAGCTAACAATTAACTGAGCCATTCTCTGTTATTTTAACTGTTTTTTGTTTTTCAAAAGATATACATTTCTTTAGAAACTAGCCTAGTTCCTCTAAGCGTGCATTCTCGATGTGTGTGAGGGAAAGGACTTGTGCAGTAGTAATCGTTGGGGAGTGCACGTTTGTCCTGTAAATGTTGGTCTCCTGATTAATAATCCAAGCATAAAAGAAGATAAAACCTTCCATTATTAGCAGGGATGCGGAGTTGCAACAGGATGGTGTTCATCTGTTTCCACATTATGTTGTAGTATAGTTAATGTGGTTTATAGTTAGTTTATATGTTAATACAAGTTTGTCAGGTTTATTAATTTAGAACAGTTTAAATAAAATAGGCTCAGCAGATCCTGTGGTAGGATTACATCACTTATTTATTGATGGCTTTTTTTTTAATTATTTACTTCATACTGAGGGAAATTAAAATGCTTCGCTTCCTGCAATTTAAAATATATTTCACTTCTGAGTCCCACTTGTGCTGGCAAGAGATGCTCATGAAAGCATTTTTGTTTAGCTACGGAGAATCTCTTACCATTGGCAATCATGTTGCATGTGTTTTGTAAATACATCCAGTAGCTAAAGTCCTGTAGGTACTCTTTATAAAATCTTTTTCATGTGGAAAACATCATAAGGAATATATCAGTCCCTCAGTTTTCTTGCTGGGAGGAGCATGAGCCCTAAAGTAGTAAGTATCTCCCAGTACTGCAGTATCAGAGGTGTAACTCAAGGTAGTGATAAATACTCTGTATCCAGAAGCTCTCATCTCTTTTCCAAACTCATATGAATGACCTTTTCCTTCTGTGGGTCAGTAAAAAGCCTTGATGCTTTAGAAGACCACTTCAGAGGCCTGTTTTCTCTGCTCGTTATTAATGACCTTTGTTCTATCAGCAGAGACACCATGCAGGGCTTCCCAGTGCACCTTGTGGTTTAAACCTGACTGGGCAGCTTTTGGCTTCTTCTTTTTACTAGCCATTGTCCTTTGTCTACTGGTCTGGCACACTTGACTCTTTAGATCTGCATTCTCATTGGCGCTCAGGCAGTTTTTTGGAGTATAATAAAGAGTAAATCAAATTGATGGTGTAGACTCTGATGTTAAACATGTTGAGGTTGTCCCCCGTGGGGATGACACTGGAATCATTTAAGAAAAATTTTGTTTTGGAATTTTCTGTTCGTATCCATATTCATTTAGCAAGCAGGTCTCCTGCTACTGCAAAGAAACCTGGTGCTGTTTTTTTTTTTTTATTCCTGCGATGGATGGACTTGTTCCACTTATGAAATTTTGTTTTATCTTCTTTTGGTGGGGCTATTAAAACTACTGTATCCAAGAAGGGTTCTTTGCATCTTTCACGTCCAGGAGAGCATTTACAGGCATCCGTGAAGTGAGGATGTGGACAGACTTTGAGATTAAGGTTGGAAAGGAGATAAGTTATGACAGTAAGGAAGAATGTGTTATGGGGTATAGTAGGAGCTGTGGAAAACCAGAACTGGAGTTACCATAATAAAAGACGATGGCTGAGAGAGGTGTGGTTTGAGCTTGGAAGAAAAGCAGGTAACTGAGGAAATGAGAGTATAAGGAACACCAAATTATTTTGTGTTCATAAAAGGAGCTTAAATAAATTTGAGAAATAGTGTAATAAGCCATCTTCATAATGGGTGCTTTTTAATAAATCAGAGAAATTCATAGGTACCCCTTCCCCATTCAGCCGTGACCCCATATTTTCACTAATTGTTTTTTGCCCTGATGTACCTGTAGAAGCCCTTCATATCTCTGCCCAGATCCATTCCACCTGGCCTTTGGCTTTCCCAACTCCATCCCTGCATGCTCAAACAGTGTCTCTGCATTCGTCTTTGGTCACCTGTCCCTGCTTCTGCCTCTTGTACACTTGCTTTTTAGGTTTAAGTTTAGTCAGGAGCTTCTTAGCTTCTTATTCATCCATGCTGGCATTCTGTCACCTTTACTTGATTTCCTGCTTGTTGGGATGGACCATTCTTGAGCTTGGAGGAGGTGATCCTTGAAAATCAACTGGTTTTGGGCCCCTCTTCTCTCAGGGCCGTATCCCATTGGATTCTTCTGGCAGATCCCTGCAGAGGCCAAAGTTTGCTTTCCTGAAGTCTGGGGTTATGATTCTACTTTATGCCCTGCTCTCTCCTTGCAGGATCCTTGACCTCTCTACGGTCTCATGGTTGCTTCAGCTAAGGCTGCCCCTGACTTTCACATCCCGGACTAGTCCTTCCTTGTTTATAAGTACCTTGTTTATAAGTATGAGATCCAGCAGAGCATCTCTCCTTGTCAGCAACTCAATCATCTGTATTAGGAATTCATCAGCAGCACACTCCAGAAACCTCCTAGATTGCTTGTGCCCTGCTATGTTGTCTGTCCAGCAGATACAGAACAGCAGACCACAGGCTGTTCAAGTCTCCTGTGAAGACCAGGGCCTGTGAATGTGAGATTTCCTCCAGTTATCTGAAGAAGGTTTGATCTACCTCTCCTTCTTGATCGGGCAATCTATTGCAGACACCCACCCCAGTGCTGCCCATGTTGCACTCCAGGCACTCCCCTTGCCCTCTCACATATAGGGCAACTCCTCCTCCTCACCATCCCTGCCTGTCCTTCCTAAAGAGCCTATATCCACCCATGGCTGCATTCCAGTTGTATGAATTATCCCGCCATGTCTCTTTGACGAGGCTGTGATGCACACAGATTTCTAAATCCTCCTGTTTATTCCTCTTACTGCATGCATTCGTGTATAGGCACTTCCTGTGGACACACTTCCAGTGAAATAGCAAGAAAATACAGAAGTGTACTGCTATAACAGTCTTTCTCTGCTCTGAACTTTTGTCCTCTCCATACGTTTGTATTTCAGAAGCAAATTTCTCTTTTCTCTTTTGAGCTTTTTGTATCTGATCATAGTTCAATGCAAACAGTATTTGAACATTTGAAGAAAAACAATTAATTTGGTTCTGAATTTGGCTGGAAGGAGGAAAGTTTTTTTAAATATATTTTAGAATTTTTTTTTTAAGTAGAAGGTAGAATTCTCAAACAAAACATTGCTGAAAGTTGGAAGATATGCTTTAATGTCATTGTATATATTTGGTCAAGTTTTATACCCTTTTCATAATCATACACTCCTTATAGGTAGGATTGGGCTCAGTGGTCTGCTCCAATTCTTATGTCCCAAACATGAAAAAAAGCAAAACAAAACCCAGCAGCCATGTTCAGGCATGCTCAGAAATATGCAGACTATAAAATGTGATTTTATTTTTTTGATTTCAATTTTTAGTATATACATTTATTACTTTGGAACGTAGAAGAAGAGAGTATTACCTTTTATCAAATACCTCTACTTTAAGGATTGCATTTTTAGTTGCATTTTTCAGTGTACATTAAAATTTCAGTAGAATGCTCCAGCATTCTTACTGCTTACATTAGGAATGTTAGGTATATTTTGTCATTTATTCTACCACTGTCCCTTCCTACCTAACTCTCTTTATGGTTTGTTTTGAGTTTTTTGCTCTGCCTTCTGTACTAGAGGAGATGCTGTAAACATTCTGAGCCATCACAGTGTTTCCCAAGAAGTTTTCCGCAGCTGGAAACCTCCCTCACGTTCTTTGCCTTTAAAAGTCATGACGGTTAACAGAAGTAATTGTGTATCTTCATAATAATTCCAATGCTCTTTGTATATATTTTACTTTCTTGTATGCAATAATAAATGTTATTGCTGAACTGTCATTTTTTTTCTTTTTCACTTTAGAGGAATACTGAGAATGATCCAATGTCAGGAAATAGTTAATAGAAAATAAATAGATCTTGAAGAGAAATGAAACTGAGCAGATCAATGTTATTAAAAACAAAACAAAACAAAACCCCATAGTCTTGGCTATTTATTCCTTGGTTACAATTTTGTGAATTTTCAGGTATTAAACTACGCACAGAATGGCTTGCAAATTTTTACTGTTGTCGGTAGAAGCATATTGAAAATTATGTGGAAGAAAATTGGCGTTGACTAACAGTCCAGAAACTTCACACAATATAAGACTTGATAGGAACCAGAGAATACATGTGAATGCAACATATAATACTAAGGCTTAATTTATGATGTGTTCTGTGACTGTGACAAACAGTAAATAAGAAGAGCAACGACGTTTAGTCACATCTTTTTCCATGAATGGAAGCCTCCAATGAAATTATTCTGTTGCTGTATTAGAGTGAATAGATTAGTTTTTTTTTATTAAAAAAGTAGGTAATATAATTTGGATTACCCTGGCTCAGATTTTCATGAAATATATTGAAGTAGAGCACTGTCACTGTTAATTTGGCCTGAAGTTGTAAAAGAAAATTATATTTAATGTGCTGTCATGTGTTTTTGTGATTATTAATAACTTCATTTACCATCCTATTCATTTCTCTAGCATTAAAAAAAATCCCCCGAACAGATGCATTGTTTTTGTTACGTGTTAAATCTTTTTTTTACTTTTAGTCTGTGTTAAATTTGATTATAGAGAAGTGCTTAAAAGACTATTTTCTAATGGAAATACGTATTTTTATCTTGATTTTATTTTCCTCAAGGATAACTTGATTCTAAGTTGCCTTACAAGCCTATTGTTGTATATTATTGTATAATTTCTTCACGTTTCACATAGAATGTCTTATTAAGTCTGTGTCATGTTTGTTTTTTGTGATATAAACACAAAGCAGACTGACTAGTGAATGTTTTATCTGCTTGTTTAGTGCACAGGGAAAATCTGTTGGGAACCACTCCCTATTTACTCAGGACTGTGCCACTTGAGTGGCTAAAAAGGATATAAAAGAGTACACCTGACCCAGTTCCGTCTGGATGTTTTCAGGCATTTATTTATTTATTTTTTCCATTTTGAGATCTCATAAACATGTTCACCTTTGTCTTACTCTGCGTTTCTGGGTTCTTGACTGATGTGCTATCATTTCAATGTGTCCTTCTACAGGTTGTTAAATGTGCTGTGCTGTGATCTCAATACCCTGTTACTTTTAGAGACTCAGTATAAAGTGTCACAAGTTTTACTAACGGCCCAGGAGGAAAATGTCATAGAAAATTCTGAAGGACCAGGGTAAGAAGTGACAAATAGAAATGTTATTTCAACTGTAAAACATTTTTCCTGAAAACATTTTTATACTTTACGGGCTATGTTTATACAAACGCTCTCACTGAAATTAGCTTCTAATGTATGTGAGTTTACATGCATGTTTGTCATCGATCTTAAATTATGAAAAGATATAACAATGTTGTTCTTCCTTCTTCTTCCACTTCAATAGTGTAAGAAACAGAAAAGCAAATGTTTTTCTCATTTTTGTGGTCACAAATCTTAAGAGTG